CCCATAGCAGGCCCACCGCTTTAGAAACTATGCTGAAATAATTTCAAGAAGGCATTTACTGGGAATTATAAAGTAACTATGACACCAGAGAAATTAAGGGTTTTATGTAGGGAAGATTAGCCAGCATTTAGGGTAGGTTGGCCCCAGAGGGGACCCTAGACAGGCCCCTTGTCTCCAAAGTAAGGCATGAGGTTATATAGGGCAAGCTAGAACACCTTGATCAATTTCCATACATAGACTTGTGGTTGCAGTTAGTGTTAAACCCTCCGAAGTGGCTAAGAGTGCATGCAGCGAGTGTTTTAGTAGCCAAGGGATAGACTGATAGAAACCACCATCCCCCTCACAGCTGAGAAATTCAGACTCCCAAGTCCAGGCACATTCAGAGGTAGAAACAGGCAGGATTTGCATGCATGAATACTTCAGTTATTGGAAGTAGCTAACCAGGCGTTTGTAAACCAAGAGGCGATAAACCAGAAGGAAAATCATAGAGAAAGGGAACGTCAGGCTCAACAGAAGGCTGACCTGATTACTGCTGCTATGAGAGGAATGCCCCCAAGAGCATGGAAAAAGGGGGTTCCTGGAAAGCCCCACAGTCTGCCTGCCTTCACCTGCAATGTGATCAGTGTGCATTTTGTCAAGAAATAGGACATTGGGGAAAAAATGCCCACAGCTAATGGGAGAACAGTGTGATCGTAACCATGAAGATTCAGATAAAAGTGTTCAAGCTAATGGAAGGGCCACTGGAGTAAAAGAGAGAGGGGCCAGACTCATATACCCACAAAGAGCCCACAGTCTGGACGACAGCCCTCTAACCCCCCATGGAAAAAACAGAATGAATAGTGTTAGAGCTATTAAGGTGTTAAGAGAACAGACTTTCTTGTACTTAATGGACTGCCCCTGTGCCACTTGTCCGGCAAAACCTGTTGTGCAAATCATGGGCCACTATCCCATTCAACAGAGACTACCTGCAGCTAAAACTGCCTCAGTCAGGGGTCATCCAGGCTCTCATTGTCCCTTGGGAAGGAGGATGGAAACTTCCTAGCCAGAAGCAGAGGACTGATAATATCGTCCAGGACAGTGCAGGGTTTGCATGGCTTTGCACCCAACTCATACAAGCAGTTGGGATTATTGCCAGCAGAAGATAGTTGGTTCACTTAATTGGACTCAAAGACTACTCCTTAGCATTGCACTGGCCTCAGAGGGTCAAAAACTATTTGCATTTCAATAGCAGAGACCCAGAAGCAGGTGTAACCTCTCAATACACCTGGACCTCAATACACCTCAAAAACTCTCTCATCATTGGAGAGGCATCAGCCTGTGACCATCCTCCAGAAGCTTCTTGCTTGCATGCTGCTCCTTATATGCTGTATAACCTTCTATTGGGACACCCCATGGCAGTTGGGTGCACAAACAAATGCCTTACTTCAGAGCCTGGAGGACTGTGAGTATAAAGTGTCTAACAGGAAAGCCCAGACTGTGAGGAAGCAAGCTATTTGTAAAGCGAGGGAACCTGAGACTAAAACCAGGTGAGAGAGCTCCTGAGAGTGGTGGGTTTTGTTAATTGTGGATTTCCAAACTTCACAGTACTAGCCAAACCCCTCTATGATGTGACAAAGAGGGGAGACAAGGAGACCTTTGAATGGGGATCCCATCAGCATCAGGCCACAGGAACTGAAAACACAGAAAGAGAAAAAGCGGCAGTTGGGATCCTAGTTCAAACAGGGGAACCTTGGCCCAGGCCTGTAGCTTACCTCTCCAAGCAAGTGGATGGAGTTTCCAAAGGTTGGCCCCCATGCTTCAGGGCCCTGACAGCAACTGCTCTGCTAGCACAAGAAGCAGATAAGATAACTCTGGGACAGAGCCTAAATATCAAGGCACCCAATGCAGTAGTGACTCTAATGAATACCGGAGGGCACCACTGGTTATCAAATGTTAGGCTGACCAAATACCAGGGCCTGCTATGTGAAAATGCCTGCATCACCATTGAAGTCTGCAACACCTTAAACCCTGCCACTTTGCTCCCAATGTCAGAAGGTCCGGTGGAACACAACTGTATTGAAGGCCTGGACACAGTCTATTCCAGAAGGCCAGTTCTTTGCGATCAGCCACAGACAGTAGTAATCTGGGAGTTGTACGTGGATGGGAGCATCTTTGTCAATCCACGAGGGAACAGATGTGCAGGCTAGGCTGTGGTAACTCTGGACACTGTAATTGAGGCCAGATCCCTGCCTCAGGGCACCTCAGTTCATAAGGCTGAACTCATTGCTTTAACTGAAGCCTCAGAGCTGAGTAGAGATAAGATTGTAAACATTTACGCTGACTGTCCGTATGCCTTTCTGACTCTCCAAGTACATGGAGCACTGTACAAAGAGAGAGGCCCATTAACTTCAGGGGGAAAAGAAATAAGGTAAGAGCATGAAATTTTGCAGCTGCTAGAAGCAGTATGGAAGCCCTGGAGGGTGACGGTCCTGCATTGCCGAGGACATCAGTGGGCCCACACCTCCGTGGCCCTGGGAAATTCCCGAGGGGATTCAGCAGCTTGTAAGGAAACATCTGCCCCCTACCAAATAGCAATTACAGCCCCGCTGATTCCCCAGATCCCTGATCTAATACCTACTTACTCTAGGGAGAAAAGAGACTTTCTCCAGACAGAAGCAGGCAACTGATTGTAGAACGATGGAACCAATGGCCAGTTGGAAGAATAGCAGTACCACAGCTACTGGGGGAAGCAGTTGTACAAGCCATACATGAAACCACTCATTTAGGTCAACAGTAGCTTGAAAAGATGTTGGGCAAGTACTTTGCAGCCTTGACCTAAACTGTGGCACAGTGATACATTACATGTCGGCAACACAATACAAGGCAGGGTCCAACTATTCCCCCTGGAATTCAAGCTTATGGAGCAGCTCCATTTGAAGATCTCCAGGTAGACTTTAGTGAAATGTCCAAGAGAGGGGGACAGAAGTATTTGTTGGTCCTGGTATGCACATACTCTGGATGGAACTGAAAGAGCCTATGAAGTAACCTGTGTGCTGCTCCGAGATCTTATCCTTAGGTTTGGACTGCCACTGCACATCGGATCAGACAACAGCATTGTGGCAGAGTTAGTCCAGAAAACAGCAATGGCCTTGGGTATCACCTGGAAACTGCCTGCTGCCTACTGACCTGAGTTCCAGAAAAGTGGAAAAAATGAACCAGACCATCAAAACCAGCTTAGGGAAAGTGTGTCAGGAAACAAGATTAAAGTGGGTGCAGGCATGTACCTTGGGGTTATTCAAAATTAGATGCACCCCCTTCTAGGAAGACAGATATACCATGGGCACTCCTAGGAACTCCTCGGGAGTGGGGAGAGATTGAGTTAGGATGCTAGTTACCAGCTCTAGGGAGAATTGCTTAGGATACTTCAACCTAAGTAAATAACAAATGTCCTGTAAGCCTTTTTCTCACCACCCTTTCTCACTAGGTAATCACGTGTGGATAAAGGACGGGAGTACAGCCCCTCTAAAGCCACAGTGGAAAGGACCTCAGACCTGATCCTGACCAGTCCCACAGCCGTGATGGTAGAGGGAATCCCAGCCTGAATCCACCACAGCCGTGTGAAAACCAGCAACAGCTGAGACTTGGACCAAGGGAAGGACTGCAGAATCACCTTATAAAGGACAACCATTCGGACTAAAATGGGCTTTTCTGACTATTTTTAAAAGATTCTTAGTCAAATGCATATGTGGGCATGGGAACAGCTAAAATGTCAGGGAGGTCTCAGGTGATGGTGAGTTTTAATAGGTATTTGTATGGAATCCTCTTTATCTGCGTTTACGCAGAACTCTACTGTGACAATTTGTTTATACTTCTGTAAAACAGAGAGGGTTCCTGATTCCCTGCTGCTCCTCAGATCTCCTAAAAATGAGAATGCTTTGAACCCTTAGAAGGAATAAGCATTGACAGGTGCCTGTGGCACCAGCAAGGTGGGAGGCTGAAGTGGGAGGATCTCTCAAGCTCCAGGAAGTCGAGGCTGCAGGGAGCCGAGATGGCACCCCTGCCCTCCACGCTGGGTAACAGAGTGCAACTCTGCTTCATTCAAAAAGGCAAGAAAAGAAAGGAAAGGTAAAGAAACACCCAGAAAGGAATACAAGGAAAGTTTTGGATGTCATAGAGATGGTCATTACTTCGATTCTGATTGTGGTTCCCTGGATTTATGCCTGCGTCCAAACTTGTCAAATTAAGGAAGTGAAGCTTCATTTGGCTTGTTGTGGTTTGTATAGCAATTTCACCTCAATAAAGCTGTGACACGACACACGCACATGCACGCGTCACAACTTAAACACAGCCCACTTCACCCAGTTAGAAGTAAATTGTTTTGGAGATTTTAAGAAATGCAAAAACCTGTGCAACCATCACCACGAGCTAATCCAGAACAAGATATTCGACTTACATTCCATATGTCATAAAACACACCCTTTCAGTTTAGAATGCAATACATTCTCAAACCTGTGAAATTCGCTGCAATCCGGAACAACTAATGTTTGTTTCTGAAGTAAATCATGATTTTGCAATCATAGCATTTCACAGTTACAAGGAATCATATAGCTTATTTCTTACAATTGGCATTTTTTAAAAGGCTCGTAAATTGTGCTCCTTCAGAGCTTTTGTTAAATATTTTAAACGTCGGCGAAAGATAATTTTCTTTTCTCTTTTTTTCTTTTTATATTTTTAACGACGGGGGTTTCACCACGTTGGTGAGGCTGGTCTTGAATTCCCAACCTCAGGCGATCCGCCATCCGCCCAATACAGCCTCCAAAGTGCTTGGATTACAGGCGTGAGCCACCACGCCCGGGCAAAAGATAATTTTAACAGTGTAAACTGTGTCGTCCCAGTTCAGCCGAGCAGACGGGGATAACCATAACAAAAAGTCTGGCAGCATAACTGGTATCTAACAGACAGTATCAAAAACTGAAAATGCTAAGACATTCAACTGCGGCATATGACGTCCCTACCGGAACAACAAGAAACAGGAACTTAAATTCTCAGTCATCTGACTTCCTGCGGTTTACGACCACAAAGTGCGATTGCACCGGAAGAGAAGAGGTTCTCTTCCGTTGCAGAGTTTCGCCATGGTAAGATCTCTGCGTTCTATCTCCTGTTTTATCTGCCTTCATCCTTTGAAAAAAACGCAGTTCCACCCTGGCACTGTTTCGCGTTTCGGGTGCCCCTACTTGGCGGGTGGGAATACTGCTGGTGCCGCTTCAGGAAACCAGATGTGGAGACCGGAGGTCTAAGAAGAGTGTGGCTAGGTTTCTGGGCTGGCCCTCGTGCTCGGCCAGTGGGCCTTGGGAGGTGGCACCTCAGTCCATCCCTGACTACGTAGCTCAGCATTGGCTTTTTACCCGGATTAGTTTGTTTCCATACGTTGAGGTAGTCTCAAATTCGCCTGGAGAGCACTGTGGAGGCTCTCGACGGAAGCTAGAGAGATCCGCGGTTTTCAAAAGTCTGTGAGTTTTGTGGGGTGTCTGTTTTCGGGTTGTGACAGGAAGTAATATTTGCTCAAAACGGGGCGTTGGTAAATAGACTGGACTGTCTTTTCTGCTGGGATCAGGTATTACCTATTAACAGTTCCTACAGGTGAAGATAAGGACATGTTACAGTAAACGAATTTTTCTGAAAAAGTTTGGTATCCTTTTCAGGCCCGGGGCCCCAAAAAGCACTTGAGGCGTCTTGTAGCGCCGAAGCATTGGATGCTCGACAAACTAACGGGTGTATTTGTGAGTATAACTTTATTTGCTTTTTAGTCAAGACTACATTCTGTAAGCCTGTGGCTTGCAATTCCGTGGGATGCTGTTTGTTACGTGGAATTTTCGTCGGCAGAGGCTTGCCGTTCATGGAACTTGTCCTTGCACGCTTCTGTAAAGGACCCTAAGAAAAAAGTTTTAACGTTTTGTTTGGCAAGTGCAGTGCTCCGCCCTCTGCTTTCAGCACTGTTGGGATCCATAATGTCACTGAGAACCTGGGCAAGCCATCTTTTTAGTAACTACTTATTGAAAGCCTGTTGCATGCCAGGTGTTATGTGGCCCCGAGCTTGGGGATATATCCCAGTACAAAATGGTTATAGAAAACAACATCTATTTCTTGACGTACTTTATATCCTGCTGGGAGGAGATGGACCTCTCCAATATGTTCACAGGTGTTGAAGGCTGGGGAAAACACTAGGATCCTGGGAAAGGGGAATGGGACCTGGATTGACTGCAGTAAGGGGGTGAAATGAAAAAGTCTCTTCAGAAGATCAGAAAGACGTAAGGGAAAGAACTATTGAAGGTGTTTGGGGTTAATGTTTTCAAAAGAGATGTCAGCCTGCTGTGTTACGATCTCTTTCAAAATTGTGTGTTATTACAAACCCATTCTTTAAAAGCTTGCACTTTCAGTTAGATGCTGGATTAAAAATGCCAACAACAACAAAAAAGGGCCATGATGTCAGTCTTGGTGGTCTCTTGCTGTTGAAGGTCTCCACTTTAGAGAGCACTTCTGGAGCTTAGTGGGTTAACAACTGTGTCAATTTCCACATAAGAAAGGAGTTCAATGACAGTGCACTGAGTCCCCATTAATCAAATATATTTAATTTGTAGTTATCCTTTGTTTTGGAGGGTGGAGTAGCTGTGCTGTACATTTAGCCGAAGTTGCTGGTTTAACAGTAAAGGCTACAGAAGCCCAGGAAACAAGGGCAAGAAATTGTGTGAGAAATGCTGGAGGCTCTTGAACTGAACCTTGAGAACCTGGCAGGTTAAGGATAGTATACCCAGAGGCATAGGAGGCAGGCATCTAACTAGAAGGCTAGGCAACACCAAAGAGAGATCTGTATGTAGAAGCAGCTTTTAAGAACAGTGTCTATTAGAAAGGATTCCTGCATGTTGTGAGCTAAAGAGGTAATTGTGGAGTGGCGTTCAAGATAGTACAGCCTCAGACCTTGACACCTTTGTAGGAACTGGTAGCAAATAGCCAAAGGATGGCGTAACACTGAAACTGCAAGAGTACAGATTACAGGATGTTGTAGAGTGAATTTGATGATACTTGAGCTACCAAGCAGCCAAGAATGGAAGTATACACAATGGGTTGTTATGGGCAGTCCAGCAACATTGGCAGGGCTTGTGTGGAACTTTGAAGTCTGGAATGGTGAGAGAGTAGTAGAATATGTCATAGTAGGTTGTGGGTAGAGTGTTAGCTACACCTGAGAAATATGGGATGTGGTATTGTGTTCAAGGGAGGTTTAAGCAGGCAGTACCCGTGGCAGTGGTGCTTGGGGCAGGGCAAAATGGGGAGATGGTTGTGAGCCTGGATTTGGGGAAGGAAGGGGCACAAATGGGATTTATATAGTTGGGGACATGATCTTTCTAAGACAGACCTTTGTAAATTGAGGAAATAATTGTCCTCTTGAGTTCCTCCTCCCCACAACAAGTTAAGTTCAGCAGAATTTAGGCTGAACTACGGCACGTCATCTGCTTAATCTGTTGACCTGCCCTTGTCTTTTTTCAGGCACCTCGTCCATCGACAGGTCCTCACAGGCTGAGGGAATGTCTTCCCCTGATCGTCTTCCTCAGGAACAGACTCAAATATGCGTTGACTGGAGATGAGGTAAAAAAGATATGTATGCAACGCTTCATCAGAATTGATGGCAAGGTTCGAGTGGACATCACATACCCTGTTGGATTGATGGGTAAGGGAAGAGTTCTTTGTTTTGAAGAAATAACAGGTTGAGAGAAAGACAAGGTGTGGGGCTTACATGTTCCCAGGGAAAAACTAGACGCTGAACTTTGATTTGTACGGAAGTTAGTGCTGGTCCTTTCAGAAGAACAAGAGAAAAGGAGTGGAAGGGCTCAAATGAAAAGCTATAAAGGGGTTGGTCACTGTAAATGGGATTGAGGCCACCAGTGGCTGCTATATGGCAGTTATCAGCATTAGGCTCCTACCCTCCCATTAGAGACTGGGAGACAGACAGAGGAGCTGTCCTCAAATGTTGGCTGGAACAAACAGTAAATTCTTTTAGCAGCCTTGAGTTTTCTCAGCCAGACACTTTGAGGGGGACTGGGTAATCTTGATCTTCTAGAAGCCATGTTAGTGTTCAGGTCTTCATAGGCCATAGATGAAGCTCAGCCAAGAAGAGGGCTCAGAGGAGTCTGGCTAATGATTGGTCAAGGAGAGAATCTTTCTCAGTGAACAGGATTTTGGTCCTGTCTTCCCATTTTGTGTATTGATGATTTCTATTCTGGATCTCCAAGGATGCAGTTGCAGCTTGGTAGGAGGGCAGAGTACAGGAGGGAGAGAAGAGTCACACTCCTCTAGGGAAAAAATATACTGAGAGGGGTGGTAGGGAAAGGCACTGAGGAATTCTGACCTAGTGCTTTGTTCACTCTTTCATGGTTACAGGCTCAATACTTTTAATATCTTTTTTATCTTAATACTGTCCAGGAAATTGGGAGATGGTTGGTTTATTAGGTGTATGCATGCTACAGTGGTAATGGGGTTCCAAGCCATATTTTCCTAGAATCCATCCAGCCACTGAGTTAGAAAAGATAGACTTTTTTTTTTCCTACTTCCCTTCCTGCCATTTTTCTTCTTTTTGCATTTTACTTTCTTTCTCAAAGCTCCAAATCCTGAGTGAGGCAAGACTCCTGATAAGTGTTATGGAGTAAAGGAGGCCAAGCCCTTGACAAGGCAGCCTGCTGAGCCTTAAGCCTTGTCTGCTTAAGTGGGAGGACTACTCGTTCATTTGGTTTCCTGGTATGTGTGAGTGTGCTCATGTGTGCTTTCTTCTGAGCATTAACCCAGAAAACAGTTTTAAGCAGTCATTGTACAAGAACATAGGATGTAGTAGAGCAGCCAGTAATGTATTCAGTTCCTTTTGTTGTACATTAATTGGGACAGGAACAGGGGTTGGTTGGTCATTCAGCAACCGCCATCAAGTGCTGGAGACTCCCAAGCTGCTAAAACGTTCCCAGGTTCAGCCTGGCATAGAGTGTTCCTGCTGTGCAGGCAAAAGAAACATTGTGTTAATAATGTTCTTTATACCTGTTTGTAATCAGATGTCATCAGCATCGAGAAGACAGGTGAGCATTTCCGCCTGGTGTATGACACCAAGGGCCGTTTTGCCGTTCATCGCATCAGAGTGGAAGAGGCAGAGGTACGTTGTACAAGTCAAGTGAGCTTCAGAATTTACAGACAGATAGGTCTGTTAGTAAGATTGTCAGAGGTCATTTAGGCCTGATTCTGAGAATATTTATTTTCTCTAATTGTTAGTATGATTATTTAATCCAGGTACATAGGTTCTCAGTGATACAAGGTAAAGCATTTTCCACACAAGGCTGTTTTAGAAAGAGGATACCAGTAAGCAGTTCTCTGAGGGACAAGATGTGTTTCTGTACAGGAAATGTAAGTAATATTAGAACCAGGAAAGCCTGGCTAGAAATCCACACTCTGTCATTCATTGATATGTAACTATAGTCAACAGAACATAGAACCTTTTTTAAGTGTTTGTTTTCTTCAGAAATGGTGATCATATGCCTTCTTGCCAGGTTTCTGTGACTATGTTAGTAGTGGTGCCACCTGGCACTTGATAGACAAAGAAGACTGTTGACTTCGTGATACTCAGCCCTTTAAAATTCCTCTTTTGTCTCCAAATTTAGTGGCCATAGTCAACTTCTAGAAACTGAAGAAAGTTTCTAGGACTTTCAAGGGAGTTTCTCTGTGGACAGCACCTCCATTTTGCTTTGGAAACTAGGATCACGCCTCAGTCATAACTTCCTGTTTTCCCTGTATTTTGGGTCATGGGGTGACTTCATCCTTGTTTCTCACATAACCCATTTACCTTCACAGTGACCAGATGCCATCTGACTATAAGACGCATTTTGTAGGTGAATCTCAACATGTTTCATCAGATGTTGTTTCCACTTACTTTAAATGGATTGCCTTATTTCACTTATTTGTTTGTGGGAAACACATTAGAGTCCCTATATGAATTCATAAGTATTTTCATGCCAGGGTAGTTACTTAATAAATGGGTTGTTTGGTTGTTTCTGACTCCTTCGGTAGTGTCTCTTGAGGTGATGTCCCTTCAATTTTGGTGGGTTGCTTCCGCAGGAGGTGCTTTGTTTTAGATCATAGGAACTAGGCCTTGAACCCTGCAGGATGTTAGTCACCCAAGGTGTTCGATTCTGTTGTGCCTAATACCTAGAAAGCGCAGGGGATATCTCAAATCTGATGACTGGTTTCTGCTTTTGTAAGAAATTTGGATATCAAGAGACAACACAGATTGATAGTCCATGTGAATTTTTAAATGGGAAGAGATGGAGTGGGAGGAGCAAATACTGGAGTGTTGTTAATACCTAGTATTGGCCCTACCAGATTGGCTAGCCACCATGTAGAAATCTCATGTCCAGGAAAATATTGCATAGTGCCCACAAGTGCCAAATGGGTATCCAGACTTAGGGTAGGCACCTTACCCTTGTGTAAGAAGTAAGAGATATGGGGAAGTTTTGGTGGAGCTTGTTTGCTGATTGTTTCTTTGGGCAGCTGAGAAGGGAGCATTCTTTGTCACAAACCCCACCCAGTTTAGCTTGGCGTGAGCCAAGGGTTCAAGGACATAGTGAGTTCAGAGTGGATAATCATGGGCTCCTGGGCCTTCAGTGATGTGAGGGACACACCACAGAGCCTTTTCATGCAGGTTATTATTTCATACAGGTCTACAGGTAGCATAGGTTAGTGGAGAGACAGAACATCCAAACAGCCCTCCACCCTCAAAAATCAAATTAGGAAAAGGGGTATTTTGTGAGTTTTGGTGGACCTGATGCATTTCAGACATAATTTTTCCCTTTAACAACTTGGTATTAGTTGAAGACTAAGGAAATGAAAGTCATTAAGGTTTAAGAATGGGAGATTAAAGGGGTGGGTGGCTCTGTGTGTGTGTGTGTGTGTGTGTGTGTGTGTGTGTGTATCACTACAGTGGATGGGAGCAAAATTTTGAGTGAGCCCATGATGAGCCTGCACAAGAGTAATGGGAATTAAGGCAGTGTCTGCTCCCGTTGCAAGGGTAGAGGAGTACAAATACTACCTGGGAGATGGCAAAGAAGACATGGAGTTTTGAAAATACATCCCCCCACTGTTGTAGATGGAAGCACATGTGGGATATGGTGTATGAGTATTTGGTGATAGGATAAGGAGATGGTAGCTACAGATCTTGATGAAATACATGGATGCTTTAGATACTTGTGCATTGGGTTCACCTTGCGTTGGAACTTGGACGTAGATGGTGAGACAGAAAGAAGTAAGTGCTGACTGAAATAGAGGACTGAAACACTGCTCAAAGGAGTTACAGTAGAGGCTGTCTGAATAGTTGGCACAGAGTCCTCATTGACATTGGGAAGCTTGTGTTCAGTGATGGATGTGCATGGGTAGAGGGAGATTTCATCTTCCAGAAAGTTTACGAACAGGATTTAGGTGGTGTACGTTCCGTTTCCTGAAAAGTAGAAACCAAGAAATGAAAATCAGAGAGTAACCATTTAAATGGAGCTGTGTTTATGGATTACCATTCTTGAACATTGAGAAGACTGAACCTTGTAAACAGGACAGTTATTCCGAAAGTAGAAGATACAGGGCAGCGAGTAGAAAGAGGGAGTTTCTTGTAAGATAATGGGTGTCGTTTGACCATTTGTTTGAGAGAATTGGAGATTGGTGCAAAAGGAAGTGATCAAGACCCTAAGTGTGGAGACTAGTGCTCTTTTGGTGGTTAAGGAAGAGGACAAGTAGAGGGAATAGGCAGTTGAAGTTTTGGAAAAGATAGAACCTGGGCAGTTAGATTTGTTTCTGAGGGAGGCCAGCTGGGAAAGATACCAGGTTGGTTTGTGTAGGTGTTATATAAAAGGAATTTGGAAATTGAAGTGAAGAGTTCCTCAGTCAGTGGTTCCAGAGGGACAGTGGAGAATTGAGAGCAGTGGAGAATGATAAGGCCTCACCTTGCAGACAAAGTGTATGGAAAGGGTGTGAATGAGGCCATTGGTTTGGGGTCCTCCGGCTCATACTATCTTGTTTTCATCCATTGTATCCTTGATCCTTCATGGCTTTGAGCCTGCCTACCTGCAGGACTCAATCCAAACCCTGATTCCTCTTCTGGCATCTTGCGCTACCACACAGGCTGAGCCACATGCCAGGAACTGAGGGCTAAAACCATAGCAGTCTCCTGTGTTCTGTTGTTGTTGTGGCTTCCTCACTGGTCAGAGAGCATTATGGTCTTTGGGAGTCTTGGTGATGGGGGGCAGAAGATGATGAGGTGTCACATCTTTAAAATCTGAAGACAGTCTTTTCAGTTGTGAGACAAAGGAAAAGTAATTGGTTTTCCACAGAGATCGAGGCTACCCCTGTCCCCTGTGGTAAGAGGGTTAGCTCAACTGGAAGTTCCCCTCATAAAATGGCCAGCCATACCCTCAGTGAAGCTCTAGTTTCCTGGCAGCATGGGCCTCTACTAAGGGAGAGGACCCAAGATCTAAATCCTGAGCTGTTTTGGCCACAGGAAGGTTTGATGCACAGGTAGTAGAGTTATTTGAGATTGGTATAAGCAAAGCTTGCTGAGGTTGGCTTCTGCAGGAGCACTCGTCTTAATAAAGGAGTTCAAAATTTTTAGCCTGCCTTAGTTCTGGTCTTGAAGCACTAAAACCTGGTCAGTAAACTCTGTGTAGAGGTTAGACTCAGAACTGTTATCTCTTAATGTGCTAGCTTGCTTACAGGCATTTCACTCACTTGTGGGTAGTTGCTGACTGTCGTCTTGTTTCACAATTAAATTACCGACATGCATTGTGAAGCTTGGACTAATGGTTGTAGAATGAACCATCTCATAGGATGGAAGAACCACTTGGAACTGGAAGCATCTTTAAAGAGAGAGGCTGTCTTTTTCACAGGTTGTTTCACCTGTGCAGTTAAAGTAAGAGGACCTTTGAGCCCAAGCTTCAAGTTTGATGTCGTGATGTGGCAATGGATGGCACAGTGCTACTGCCGTCCATGCAGAAACTGTTGGTTAGTGAAGAACTGTTGAGGATACAGAAGAAAGTGTTTTTACTTGTTTTGTTTTTGCTGTCTCTTTTCCTGTTTGCCAGCAATACCTGCTAGCTACTCTGACTCCCTTACCAGTGTTCTCAACTCAACTGGGATAGTACACTAGAGAAGATGTATGTGAAAAGTGGAAGGCAGTAGATAGGCTTTGAGGTGTACAGCCATAGAGCTTGCTTGAACCTGTCTTACCTGCAATATTTGGAGCTAATGAGCCAGGGTGGAAAGGGGACCTGATTGGCTTTCACTGGAAAAGTTTTAGAATGACAAAAGTAGGTTCAGGATGTCACATCCCAAAAATGTCCAAGACAATTGGGTGATAAGAATGCATTCTGCAGGCCATGATGCAAAGACTTGCCTCACGAAGTTGGAGGGGCAGAAGTAGAGAGGGCCAGATTTTATTCTGAACAGACAGCAGTGATTATAATAGGGTTATCAGTAATGGGGACCTCAGTAAGTGTGTGTAGAGCCATTTGACAACTAGAGCTTGCATTTCAGAGTTCTTTCTCCAGTTACAAAGGACAGAGGGGTTTCTGAAATCTGGCATGGAGTAGAGCTGGAGAGACTGAGAATGCCCACTAGTAACCCTAGGGTTGGTTAAAGTAACACTGCATGTCTTAAATCTAGCATGGAATAGAGCTGGAGAGATTGAGAATGCCCACTAGTGACCATATGTTGGCTAAAGTAACACTGCATTAGTAAGTGGTCACTTGATTGGCATTGCGAAAGATAGGCATTATAAAGGCAAGAGAAAGGTGAGATGGGCACTAATGATTGGATAGTACTTTTTAAAGTAAAGTGCAGCTTGCTCTTCTAAATGGGGTTGGAAAACTGAAGTTGAGTCTTGGGACTTTTTTCAACTCTGGCCCCACTGGTTGCCAAATGCAGGTTGTGTGGTGGTCTCTTTCTTATGGCTTGGTCTCAGGGACTTTGGAGGTATAATGGGAAAAAGTGTCTGCTTACCCCTCAGCAGCTCTAGGGCCTTTCTGGACTCTAAAACAAGCCTGAATTCTTGGCCCAGTGCTCTAGACTGTAGCTTGGTAGTTTTCCACTTTGGAGTAGAGGACAAAGAGTAATGGGCTTTGATCATCATATTATACCCCATCCACATGTATTCAACCTAAAGTTGGGGAGGATTGTAACCCTCTGTGCCCTTTGGTATACCATTTATTGTCTGAAGGAATTCTGCTTGGCTGCTCAGTGAACCTCAAAGATCTCCTTTCAGTAAATACTGAAGATTTTCTGTTATTGTGAATAATCCTATCTGCTGAATTTGGTTGTATATAGTATCTATCTGCCTTCTCTTGTGGGGATTTTTATACCTGGTTGGAAGGAATGCACTAAGTTGTATTCACTATCTTTTTTTTTTTTGAGACAGAGTCTCGCACTGTCATCTGGGCTGGAGTGCGGTGGTGCGATCTTAGCTCGATGCAACCTCCGCCTCCCAGGGTAATGCGATTCCCCTGCCTCACCCACCTCCCCGCCCCCCGCCAAGTAGCTGGGATTTCAGGTGCCCACCACCACATTTGGCACCTTTTTTTTTTTTTTTTTTTAAGTCAAATTTTATTGTTTTATTTATGTGGTGTTTTTTGCAAGGCACTGTGGTATGGACTAGAAAACTTGGAATGACTCATGAAGAAACCGTGGAATGACACATGAAGCATGATAGGAAAGTCATTCTGAGGCAGAATGCTTTTCTGAATTTATTTCAACCAGGGTATCAAACATCAGGAATGAGTTCAAGTTAAAATTCACAGGAGAATGGAAACATCTTAAGGTCAGTCACTTCACATGCCCATCCTGATACTTTGAATAATCTGGAAAATTGCAGAGCCACAAACAATTAATGTATTGTAATGACAGCACCCCCTACCCTGCCTCTGCGCACACTACCTTCATTACACTTGCTTCTGATGGCCAAATATATGCATCCCTGGGTGGTAGGTCCATTCCTATAGTCACCTTGGTTTGTAGGGTGTTTGGTTTGCTCTCCTTCTACCACCATTCACTCCCTCCAGGTGCCACCCAGACTTGTTTCACAGGCCCTAAAGTTTTAAAGGATTTATGTCTTGCTGTGCCTTAACTATGACAGGTAGTATAATGAAAGTTTACATATGCTGCCTTTTTATGAGTATGCAGGGAGGTTTTTGATGTCTTGTCCTTTCTGGCCAAACAGAGGTCTGGACCAAAAGGTATTCCTGTCAGGGTACAGGGAAAGGAGGATGTGGCTTTCCTTTTGAAAGAAAAGGGTTCAGTCAGCCTAATTGTTCCTTGGAATGCTTCTGACTTTCCTTAAGAGTTTTAATTGGTATGTTTGCATGCAGCCTCTGGGTGTTATTTGAATTTCTACATTTGTGTGGGACCTCGCTATTATATTCACTAAGGTTTTCAGTTGGTTGGCCAGTAGGCAGCTCTGATCGGTGAGCTAGGCTGCTTTTGTTTCTGTGCTTAACTCACTAGCCAGGAAAGCTGGAAATGATCTTGAGTTTGTATTTGTAGTGATGGTAAATGTGAGCTGATGGTGGTAAACAAACTGAACACTCACTGAAGAGAGTGCCTGGAAGGATGTGTCAACTGTGAAGTTTTGAATGGAAGAGAGTGCTGTCTTAGAATAACTGGGTAGGAGCCAGACTTTAGCATGGATAAGTGGGCTTGTATATGCCAGGCTGGTGAATTTTCCAGGTTTACCTTTGCTGGTAGAGTTAATATGCCCTAGGTTCCACATGTGGAATAGAAGGTGTCTTTTGTCACTTTCTTAAACTGCTGGCTTGTGTTAAATGGTCTCACCTCTCCATAGCACCTTGAATAGTATTGGATCTGTAGTAGAAGCAAAAGTAATATTATCTGACACTTACTGCTTTGCCAAGCCCTTTATGTTCCTTTATCTCATAAATAGATGTACTAGTATGCAGTAATTATTCCCATCTTGCACCTCTGAAGTTTAAGGGGACAGTATCTGAACTTGGAGCTTTTTTGTAGGAGAGAGAGCCCTAGCTCTACTTAATATGTCTCTTTCCATACCTAGGGAGGTCAAAAGCAATGATAGAGACAAACTAGCAAACCAAGTCAGTCTTGAGAGCCCAAATATAGGGGATAGAGTGAAATATCTGTAGAGGAAATGCAGGAACTGATTAAAGAAAAAATAGTTGCCCCTGGAGTTCATTGATTCTGCATGTTTTGGAGGGTTGCTCTCATCTTCAGGGGTTTTTTTTCTGTCATCTGTCACTGTGCATTTGTCTTTGTCATTTGCACATGTTCCTAAAATTGGTCTGGAGACTTCAGAGGACTATGCTTAGTTTAAATGTGGAGCTTTTAGTATCTTTTAAATTTCCATAAGCTTTTTCTCACAACAAAGCTGAAAAAAACCCTACTTTGTCGCATCTGAAAAGTAACACTCTGGGTAGCCTGTGGTACGTAGGATGGGGATTGACAACCACAAATGGGTTGTGATTGTTTGAGATTACATAGTATACTATTTGAAGCTTCTGAAAATTGCTTCTGGAACATAGTAACGCTTGTTGTAACTGTTGGGCATATATATATACATGGTATGAGGCATTTTGAACAGCTCTTGCTGGAACATGTCATGAGCAGCACCAGAGTGGTAAGTGTTAAAAAGTAAACAAAAGCAAGTAGATAACGGGATGTGTCATTTAAAAATGAGATGAAGAGCAGCATTGTGTATGGAAAGCATGTAGCTGGCCAGGGCAGCTGTTTTTAACCTAACCTAGTCATAAAAGCATCATGTACTTAGCGGTGGTACAGTTAACTTAGTCCCTGGGGCTCTATGTAACACCGGGATGAGAACTGTCAGTCTGAAATATGTCCGAGGAAAAAATGATAGAGCAGTTGATTCTGTGTTACCACTCAGATACACAGACAGCAAGCTCTTAGCCTGGGATAAAGTACCAGAGCTTAGTTCAGCTGAGCACTCCTCCAGCAGCCCCCAGAAGGTTCTGAACCAGATTTCCTCTTGGCGAAGTTTCCCAGATGTCTAAATTCCTAATTCATTATGGCAGACCATCTGCTCTGTGACTGTGGTTAATGTAGTTTTTCCCAGGAGCACTCCCTCTCTGACTGAGGAAAATCGGTGAGATAAGTAATAGTTGGGTGACTGCCTTTGCGTTTACATATTAAATTGGTTTTTCTTTCTGTATGTATAGTACAAGTTGTGCAAAGTGAGGAAGATTACTATGGGGACAAAGGGAATCCCACACCTGGTGACTCATGATGCTCGAACAATCCGCTATCCAGATCCTGTCATCAAGGCGAATGATACTGTGCAGATTGATTTAGGGACTGGCAAGATAGTCAACTTTATCAAATTTGACACGGGTAAGTTTTGTTTGTTTTTTTCTTGTGTTATCTGGCACCTCCCTCCTTGTTTTTGTTTTTTGCTTTTTTTTCCCTATCTTTTCTATTTCTTCTATTTTTGTCTGTATACCCATTATGATTAGAGAGAAGTGAAACACATTTGGCTCTCCTTAAGAGAGAGTATATTGCCTTATGGTCTCTTGAGTTTGCAGTGGGATCTTGATGCTGAGTGGTGGTATGGAGTCCCTTTGGGCTACGTCCAGCAGCCTAGCCTCTTTCAAGAATGTAAGCTCTCTGTGTCCATTCAGTTTGTCACAAGAGGGGAACTTTGTTCCAAATGTGATAAACTTTAGGTGTGTTCCTTGAGGTGAAGTGCTGAAGTTGTCTAAATAATCTTAAATTGGTGATGATGAAAAGCTTTGTCTGCAGATTTGTATCTCCTCCCTGCTTCCCCGGCTCTGACTCCTGACGTTTACACCCAAGTGCTGCTTATACCTGATGTGCTAAGGAAGTAAAATATTTTGCCTGACTTGTTTTAACAGAAATTTCTAGAAATGTAGTAACACTGAAAGAGTAAGACAGAGACAACAAATAATGGGAATTTCTTTTGTGCCTACCTTCAGTGACTTTGCACTTTGTTCTGTTGCTTATATGCCCTCCATGTTTACCTGCCTATGGCATCCCCACAGTCCCCACTTAGACCCTGATTTAAGATGCAGCCAAAGTCTTCAGTTGCCTTGCTGTTTAAAGAGCTCACTGTCTGTCTTGAATTCAGTACTCTACAGCCTGGGATTGTCTTGATTGTTTCACCATTATGACTTTCTACTTGTGCTGCCTGCACTTCTGGTATTTACTGTTAACCTGGAAATTTTAGGCAGAATGTTTCTTAGCTGTCAAAGTTGAGAGGCCCTCTCATTAGGGGAAAACCTTAAGAGATGTGATAATAAATGGGTGTGTCATGCCTAAACCTGTTGTTTGATTTCAGTGTGAGCACAAAAGAGAGAACCAGACATCATGCATCTCCCAGTAGTAGCAGTGTACGCAGTACCATTCAGAAAGTATTCTTGTTAAAGAATCAAGACAAACTTGGATAAAGGAACAAAATAAAGCATGTATGTATTGGAAGACGCTTAAGACATCTGGCAATCATGTGCAGAGTTTATTAGCTTTTCAAGAGGTTTGCCAGAATATTTCAGGTTTAGATAATTTGGTAACTGGCCATTATTTGTTTCCAAGTGATCCAGCACAGGACTGTGTGGGTGAGATGAATCAAGGCTGGCCATGAGTTTAAACATGTTTTGAAGCTGGAGAGTGGGTAGGTAGGAGCCTATTGTTCTTGTCTTTAAACTTTTCAAAGATTTGAAAATGATTTTTTAGATGGACGTGGACTTATTACCAATTAAATGAAATGTCATTTCTCATTTATTAAATCAGATTCCCAGTTAAAATTCAACAGATTTTTTTTTTTTCCTCCCTCACCTAACTTTTCTGTTTTGTTTTGTTTTGTTTTGAGAATGGAGACTTGCTCTCTTGCCCAGGCTAGTGTGCAAAATGGTGCAGTTTCGGCTTATTGCAGCCTCTGCTTCCCAGTTCAGATGATTCTCCTGCCTTAACCTCCCAAGTAGAGGTGGGGTTTCACCATGTTGGTCACGCTGGTCTTGAACCGCAAGTGATCCACCCACCTTGGCTTCTCAAAGTGCTGGGATTACAAGCATGAGCCAATGCATCTGGCCCTAGCTTTGTTTATTTGAAATATATATGCCTTTGTGTTATACAGAAATGCTTGGTATTATTAATTAGTTTGCTTATTTGCTTATTAGTTTACTTACTTTACTCTTGGGAGTTTACATAACATAATCCCAGAATTACAAAGCCAAAATTCTTGATAAGAGATCCACTGAGTGAGGGCAAAAGTTTCTTCGTAGTTCTTGGTTTGTTTGCTTTTAAATGATTAAAGGATTTTTAATTGTGCTTTTGAAAAGAGGTTAGTTCATACATTTACATCTTAACCATTTTTATGTGTATGGTTCATTAGTGTTGTTAACTATATTCACATTGTTGTGTGGCAGATCTCCAAACTCCTTCATCTTGTAAAACTGCAACTATGTGCTTTAAACAACTCTGCCACTTCCTTCATTCTGCAGCCTCTGACAAACACCGTCCTACTCTCTGCTTCTGTGAATTTTACTTCTTTGGGTGTGTCTTACTAAGTTTATATCATGGTGTTTGTCCTATTTTGACTAGTTTACTTTGCTTGACGTAATGTCCTCAGGGTGCATTCATGTTATAGCATGTGACAGTATTTCCTTCCTCTTTCTTTCTTTTTTTGAGCTTAGAGTTTTGCTTTTGTTGCCTAGGCAGGAGTGCAAAAGCACTATCATGGCTCGAAAACACTCAACACATGTATAATAGGAGAAAGTGATCCAAACATAATCAAAGCCATGTATTATATAATATAGTCATTGGAGATAACGGCATAGTTTTTGTCTTTCATTTTTCATTCTGTTGATGTAACATAGATTTTGTATGTTTCATTATTCCTTGCATTCCAGGAATAAATTCTACTTGATTGTGTAGATCCTTTTTTGTGTATAATCCTTTTGATGTGCTGATGTGATTTGCCAGCAGTTTGAGCAGAATTTTTCCTTTATATTTATTAGGGATAGTGGCATGTAGTTTTCATTCCTGGTGGTGTCTTTGTATAAGTTTTATATCAGGGTGATGCTGGCCTCACAGAATGAGCTTGAAAGGGTTCCCTCCTTCACAGTCTTTTCAGAAAGATTGGTGGTAATTATTTTAATTTCCTCGGGTCCTGGGCTTTTCTCTGTTGAGAGGTTTTTGGTTACTGACTCAAACTCCAGACCTACTTACAGATATGTTCAGACTTTATTTATTTATTTATTTTTGTTTATTTATTTAGAGGTAGTCTCACTCTGTTGCCCAGGCTGGAGTTTAGTCATGCGAACTCTGCTCACTGCAACTTCCCCCTCCCAGGTTCAAGTGATTGTTCTGCTTCAGCTTCCTGAGTAGCCACCATTAGAGGGATGTGCCACCATGCCTGGCTGTTTTTTGAATTTTTAGTAGTGATGGGGTTTCACCATCTTGGCCAGGTGGGTGTTGAACTCCTGACCTCAGATGATCCACCTACCACACCACAGCCTCCCAAAGTGCTCAGATTACAAGTGTGAGCCACCGTGCCCAGCCTCAGTTTTTTTTAGTTTGTTCATGAGTCAGTCTTGGATCACCATTTATTTGTACGAGTTTATCCGTTTCTTCTAGGGTTCTCCAGTTTGTTGGCATATTCACAGTATTCTCATGATGCTTTTATTTCTGTGGCATTGGTTACAATATTTACTCTTTCATTTCTGATTTTCATTGTTTTGAATCTTTTTTTTTTAATCTGGCTAAAGTTTTTCACAGTTCTTGTTTCCATGCTTTTGGTTTTTTTGAGATAGGGTCTATGTCACTCAGGCTGTAGTGCAGTGATGTGATTACTGCTTTCTGCAGCTTCAACATCCCTGGGCTTGGATGAATCTCCTGCCTCACTGTCCTGAGTATCTGGGATCACAGACACACAACACCACACCTGGCTAATTTTTCTTTCTTTCTTTCTTTCTTTCTTTCTTTCTTTCTTTCTTTCTTTCTTTCTTTCTTTCTTTTTTTTTTTTTGTAGAGATGGGGTTTTGCCATGTTGCTTAGGCTGATCTCGGACTCCTAGACTCAAGTGATCACACCTACCTCTGCCTACAGAAGTAGAGTTACCACGTCCAGCTTTGGTTTTGTCAATTTTGTTTTTTGATTTTTTTTTTTTAATCAACCCTTAGGTTTTTTTTCTTACTGTTTTTTCTCGTGTCTGCTCCAGTCTCTCTTTTTTTTTTTTTTTTTTTTTTTGTACTTTAGGTACTGGGGTACATGTGCAGATCATGCAGAATTGTTGCAGAGTTACATACATGGCAATGTGGTTTGTTGCCTCCATCACCCCGTCACCTATTATCTGGCATTTCTCTCCATGTTATCTGTCCCCAACCTCCCCAACCCCAGCTGTCCCTCCTCTGCCTCCCACTACCACAACAGACGCCAGAGTGTGATGCTCCCCTGCCTATGTCCATGTGTTCTCATTGTCAAACACCTACCTATAAGTGAGAACAGACACTATTTGATTTTCTGTTCTTGTGTCAGTTTGCTGAGAATGATGTGGTTTCCAGAGTCATCCATGTCCCTCCAGAGGACACGAACTCATCGTTTTTTATGGCTGCATAGTATTCTATGGTGTATATGCGCCACATTTTCTTTGTCTAATCTATCATCCGTGGACATTTGGGGTGGTACCAAGTGTTTGCTATTGTGAATAGTGCCTCATTGAACAAATGGGTGCATGTGTCTTTATAATAGAACAATATATAATCCTTTGGGTATATACCCAGTAATGGGATTGCTAAGTCAAATAGAATTTCTATTTTTGGGTCCTTGAGGAAGCACCACACTGTCTTCCACAACAGTTAAACTAATGTTCACTCCGACCAACAGTGTAAAAGTGTTCCTATTTCTCCACATCCTCTTCAGCATATGTTGTCTCCAGATTTTTTAGTGATTGCCATTCTAACCAGCTTGAGATGATATCTCAGTGTGGTTTTGATTTGCATCTCTCTAATGACCAGTGATGATTAGTGTCTTCTCGTATGTTTGTTGGCCTCATATATGTCTTCTTTTGAAAAGTGTCTGTTCATATCCTTCATCCACTTTTGAATGGGCTTGTCTTTTCTTGTAAATCTGTTTCAGGTCTTTGTAGATTCTGGATATTAGCCCTTTGTCAGATGAGTAGATGGCAAAAATTTTTTCCCTTCCTATTATTTGCCAGTTTACTCTAATGATTTTTTCATTTGCTCTGCAGAAGCTGTGGAGTTTGATTAGGTCCCATTTGTTGCCAATGCTTTTGGTGTTTTAGTCATGAAGTCATTGCCTGTGCCTATGTCCTGAGTGGTTTTGCCTACATTTTTATGGTGTTAGATCTTATGTTTAAG